CACAATTCTACTTATCTAAAACACTGTCTGCTTTTCAGATTTGAACCATCTTATGAGAAAAAGAGCATTTTTTAACATTTCCCTTCAAATAGTTCTGACAAGATCTAGTCTATGGGCCAGGGTTACAGTTCAGGTCAGTTGTAGCCCAGGAATAGGACGAGTGTTGGGACATGCAGTGAGCCCAGATAAGTTTGGAATTAGGGCTGATAGTAGGGATGTGAAAGTGTAACCATGTACACAGTGAGCCTGGGATCATTGGTTAACCGTCATGATAACATTTCCCTTCAAATAGTTCTGACAAGATCTAGTCTATGGGCCAGGGTTACAGTTCAGGTCAGTTGTAGCCCAGGAATAGGACGAGTGTTGGGACATGCAGTGAGCCCAGATAAGTTTGGAATTAGGGCTGATAGTAGGGATGTGAAAGTGTAACCATGTACACAGTGAGCCTGGGATCATTGGTTAACCGTCATGATTACACACAGGCTCCTGGTACATGTAGAGAGCTGGCTTAAAAGCATCTACACCCTGCATGCACCTACTCCTGGGGAGTGCCTCCCCCTCTCCCCCCGCCCTGTGCTGCTGCCTCTATCAGAGTGCAGGTCGGGGGAGGAAGGGACAGGTGGGAAGTTAAACTCTCTGCATGCACTGGCTCCTACCTCCTTCCTGCCCTCTGCACTGCTGCCTCTGATACAGAGGCAGCACAATAGGAGGCAGGGAGCAGGAGGCAGCTCCCTGAGAGCCAGTATGCACCGGGAGTCTTTAAAGAAAGACTTTGGGGAGGGAAAACTGGCTACTCTAGTGAGCTTCATCCTCATGCCAGCCACCCCATCTCCTGGGACTCTTGATCTCTTTTATCTTACTACTAAGAAATATCTTAACCAGATTGGGTCAGACAGATGGAGAAAAATGACATTGCACTCTCCGCTGATTTAAACTAAATCCTGAATACCAACTGGGACCTGAGACTTTGTGTGTATAGGGTTGCGGGGGTTTTTTAAATTTCTAGTCTCCTTTTTCCTTCTGTCTGGTAAAACATTGGCTTAACCAAGACTATATATTTTGCAACACTGCTGAAAGCTCAGAGTGACCAGAGAGAGGCAGCTGAAAACAATGCCTTAAACATCCTGATGCTTATACAAGTTTGCTATTCTCAAAGTGGCTAAGACAAGACCGTGGTGGTTGGTGTGTATGTGGCTGTGGCTTTTTTTTTGTGCCTGTGTTTTTTCAGCCATGAGGTTGCAAGAGTCAGTGCCAAAATAGAAGCTACATTTTCTCTCTGTGCTGGTCTTTTTGCTTCTCTTCTTTTTGCCTGCATCTTCTTTTTTGCCTTATAGGAAGTGGGATCAGACTTAACAACAGCAATGACTACTTCAGCCTGTCTCTGCTAACTTCTCTTTTCCTCAGAAAGGACAGTTACCATCTTTCATAGAGACTATCAGATCAGGGGGATATTCCCCAAAGGGAACAAAGGACGTTGTTTAAATGAAATCCTTATTTAATACTTTATATTTCAAAGGCTTTAACTGTTTTTTCATCTTTTCTGTATCTCTAATACATTATTTTAAAGGATTTTTAAAGGTTTGTTTGCTGTGATACTAACCAGGCTAAGGTCTTTCTATGCCAGCCTCCAAACCTTGTTTAATGCTGGACTGTGGTGACAAGGTCTTGTTCACACCTTTGACCTTTTGGGCTCATACCTTCTATGTAAATGAATACAGCAAGGCCCTGGGCTAGGAATCTGAGTGAGGCTTTTGCCTGACCACATTAACCCTGGTCTCACTCCCCCTAACACCACACCAACATTTAGGATTGCACCCACTAGGACTCTCTGGGCTCAGGGTGGGATTGGGGCTAGCATAGGGCCCCCGGCTCAGATTAGGGTTGGGGCTGGTTAGTCTCACTAGCCTAGGGCAAGGACTAGGGACTGTATTGCCCACTGAGCCAGGGTTGGAGCTAGTAGGGCTTGCCAGGCGTAGGTCTAAATTAGGGCCGTTGGACTAAGGTCTGAATTAGGGCTGGACTGTAGGAGGTCAGTGTTCTACCGCTGTGGTTGTGGCTGGAAGAGGGCCTAGCCTAGGAGAGAGCTGTGGCCATTGGGGGTCTTCTGACCAGGGCTAAGGTCGGTGCTTATAGGTTTCACTGTGCTAGGTATAAGTTGGGGCCAGTACATGTTTTTGCGTTTGGTTGAGGCCAGTAATCGTGCCAATCCTACCATTGGATGCATTTCTTGTAGGACTCACCAGGCTTGTGTTCGGGTTGGATCCTGTAGAATTTCAGTCGTGTTTACAATCGTATGGGGGTCTTCTGACCAGGGCTAAGGTTGGTGCTTATAGGTTTCACTGAGCTAGGTATAAGTTGGGGCCAGTACATGTTTTTGCGTTTGGTTGAGGCCAGTAATCGTGCCAATCCTACCATTGGATGCATTTCTTGTAGGACTCACCAGGCTTGTGTTCGGGTTGGATCCTGTAGAATTTCAGTCGTGTTTACAATCGTGGTGAGATGTGGTCCAGAATTACTACTAGGATTGGCGTGGGCTTATTGTTAGTTATGATTGCAGTTGGGTTCTTGTGCCAATTTCTGGTGAAGACATTGTTTATTTAATAAACAGTCAAATATATTTTGTACATAATAAATGAAAATGACTAATTTGATAAATACTCGCCAAAACTTTGCCACACTTTAAAACCGAGAAAATTCTTCAGGAAGATTTTTTACTTTTAAAGTGGACTATTATGGCTAATAGTTTCTCATCTGAAACTTTTGACTATTCTAATGTCTCTAGAGCCTAGTTGTTAAACTGAGACCAGATTTCCCTTAAGTTCACAATTGAGTCTGTGGACCCAGGAATTTGGTTTGGTCCCGTCCTTACCAAAGAAAACAGAAAATAGATTAAAACTTTGTTTAACTCTGATATTTTTTTTTCTTCTCTCTAAGCTATGTGCTTCCAGACACCAGTAAGAAGAGTTACCAAAAGACCCGAGTTATCAAAAGAGACCCAAACCCTGTTTTTAATCACACCATTGTGTATGATGGGTTCCACACAGAAGATCTGAAAGATGCCTGTGTTGAGCTGACTGTATGGGATCATGAAAAACTAACCAATCACTTCCTTGGCGGGATCAGGCTGGGCCTGGGGACAGGTAATTGCATTGTTATTTGAGTCAGTAGTTTGTTTTCTTCAAACTAAATTGTATTAAATATTGTCACTCCTTTACTGACGTTATTTGAGTCAGTAGTTTTTCTTCAAACTAAATTGTATTAAATATTGTCACTCCTTTACTGAGCCATAAATCATGATGGGGCCTTCCCAGGTGGCTTTGTTGAAGGAGATGTGCGTTGCAGGGAATGTGGGCGTGTTCTACGTGTAACTTTGGTTTCCATGCACACACCACTCCAGGGCAGAGGTGGTCACAAATGGCACGCTGACAAACCTCTCTTTCAGGAACCTCAGCACTGTCCCTCCCAGTGCTTCCACGGGCTAACGTGGGATGGATCCTGCCCCAGGAAGGCAGGGAGAGGGGCTCAGCGGGTTGGCTCCAAAAGGGACCAGGAAAAGCCCTTGTGGGGAATCAGAGGTGCTCTCAGAGAAAAGAGGGAATTGGAGAGCAGGGGGAGGAGGAGAAGCAGGTGGCAATGCCTGGAACAGAGCATCAAGCCCACCCAGCCCAGCAAGACAGGAGTCATTTCAGCTGGGAAAGTGGGGTTAGAGGTGAAAACAGGACAAAACCCGGGACTGTTGGGAGATCTGCAACAATACCTGGATCCTAGGAAGGAATTCCACTCCCAGAACTGGCTCTAGTTTGAGAGAGAATACATCACAAACAATGCATAACTTCTTCCTCACCTGAGTAGTGCTTGCAGTGGGTATCCTAGGCAGCTGCAGTCCCACCCACACTCCTCCCCCCAGTCCTCTTTCTGCTCTGCAGGTGGTCGGCTCTTCTGTGCCCATTAGAGCCATGCCGCCCGGCCTCCTGGTGCTCTGGGGGTGAGGGGGAGGCTAGCCTGGGGCAGGACACAGCAGCAATAGTGGAGTATGCTGGGATCTGGCAGGCTCAGAAGGGTTGGGGCCTCCGGTGGAAGGGCCAGGACTCCGTAAGCCAGCAAGTGGTTCACCCACTGCCCATGGTGTTTGCAGTTAAGAAAACGAACTTGTGTATCAGCACCACCTGGTAGCTCCCTCTATAACAATACATTGAAGTTTACAAGTAATACCAATAATGAATACCTTACAGTGGCAACGTGGATCCTAAACAGACCAGGTAGACAAAGGGTAAGAATAGCCATACTTGGTCAGAACAAAGGTCCATCTAGCCCAGTATCCTGTCTTCCAAGAGTGCCCAATGCCAGGCGCTTCAGAGGGAAAGAACAGAAGAGGTAATCAAATGATTCAGTCCCTGTCACCCATTCCCAACTTCTGGCAAACAGGCTAGACACACCATCCCTGCCTATGCTATACAATAGCCACTGATGGGCCTGTCCTCAATGCGTTTATCTAGTTATTTTTTGGACACTGTTCTAGTCTTGGCCTTCACAAGGCTACATAGCTATAGATATCCATGTTTCTGTGCCAAGATTATATGGAGGTCCGTTAGAATTTCTGTTTTGCTGTCCTTCACTTGGATAATTTTTCATTGTGGCATCTTCGCTTCCATTCCAGTCCTATTTCCCCCTTCCCTCCCTTTCGTGACAAGATTTTCATAGAATAGGTAGGGGTGGCCAATCTGCGGCTCGCGAGCTGCATGCGGCTCTTCACTGCAAAAAGTGCAGCTTGCGAAGACACCCCTGCGCCCCCACAAAGGGCCCCCAGCGCTGGTGCTCACCCGAGGCAGGGGAGCCACCTGGCGTGGTTGGTGAAGCAAGATGGTGCCAGCCAATGGGAGCCTGATGTGGTCAAAAAGCCAAACCGGAAGCATGTTTTGTTTTTGTTTTTTGCTCGACCAAACGCGATGGCTCAGGCTATTTTTCTTTTTCCTCGACAACTTTTTTCCCTCAGCTCTTTGCTCCATTTCCACAGGCTCTTTGCCTGTATCTGATTGGCCACCCTATCATAGAATCATAGAAATGAATTGCTGGACAGGACCTTGAGAGGCCATCAGTCCAGCCCCCTGTCCTGAGGCAGGACCAAATAGCCTTAGACCATCTCTGACAGGTGTTTGTCCAACAGGTTCTAAAAAACTTCCACTGGTAGGGATTCTACAGTCTCTCTTGGAAGTGTATACCAGAGCAGCTACTGTTACCATTAGAAAGTTTTCTCCTCTACTATCTAACCTTCATCTTCCTTGCTGCAGGTTAAGCCCACTACTTCTTGTCCCACCTTCAGTGGACATGGAGAATAACTGATCACTGTCCTCTGTATAACCACCCTTCAAATTTTTGAAGACTGTGATCAGATCCCCACCCAATCTTTCCTCAAGACTAAATATTCCTAATTTTTTTTAAAAAAACCTTTCCTCATAGATCAGTTTTTCTAACTTTTTATCGTGTTTGTTGCTTTCTTCTGGATTCTTTCTTATTTGTCCACATCTTTCTTAACGTGTGGTTCCCAGAACGGGACATAGGACTACAGCTGAGGAATTGCTAGTGCCATGTTGATCAGGACAATTACCTCTTGAATTTTATATATGACAACCCTGTTTGTATGCCCCACAATGGCATTAGCCTTTTTGCAACTTCATTACAAGGTTGGCTCCTATTCAGTTTGTGATCCTCTATCATCCCCAGATCCTTTTCAGCAGCACTACCAGCTAGCACTTAATCCCCATTTGTAATTGTGCGTTTGTGTGGGAGGGGAGTTTCCTTCCTAAGTAAACAGCTTTACAGTTTTCTTTATTGAACTTAATTCTGTTGATTTCAGTCAATTTTTCTAATTTGTCAAGGTAATTTTGAATTCTAATCCTGTTCTCCAAAGGGCTTGCGGCTCTTCACAGCTTGGTTCCATCTGCATATTTTATAAGCATACTCTCCGTGCCATTATTCAAGTCATCGTGCCTTTAACACAAATAGCTGACCTAAAAATGTTGCCTTCTAATGCCGAGATAATAATCCACATTAGTGATGCTAAAGAAGTGAATTCCATTCTGGTGAAATCTGGTCTGTGCCTTTTTTCTTGTACTGTTCATTGTGGGCTAGCTTGTGGCATCTCCCACATTTAGCCGTTAAGGGGCAGATTGAACCAACAGTGCCATAAGTATAACTCACAATGTAGAAAAATACAGAACTCTAATCTGCATATTTATTATTAGACCAGGAAATTGTTATAGGAGATCTGCGCTGAGGAAAAAGGCCGATGAAATTTTAATGGATTATAATACAGGATGAACAATCCCTGGAGGTTGTTTGGAAAACATTTGTAGCATCTGGAAGATCTTCCTCTCAGACCTACTTAACAGTGTGGGACTTGCCAGCACGCTCTGTTTTCTCTCTCCTACCATGTCACCAAGAGTTGTTATGAAGTTCCCAAGTGTGAAATAGCAGCTACAACAAGCTAATAAATAAGATATAAAAATATCACATTCAGGATTCGTTGTTGTGGATAGGACATGGTCCAGACTGAGACATTTATCTAGTTAGCGATGTTATAGAGTCATAGAAATATAGGGCTGAAAGAAACCTCGAGAGGTCATCTAGTCCGTTCCTCCCTCCCCCAAACCTGAGGCAGGACAAATCTATTTAGACCATCCTGACAGCCATTTATTAGATTCCACAATCTCCCTTGATAACCTCTTCTAGTATTTAACTGTCTTTACAGTTGTAGCATTCATCTCAATATCTAACCTAAATCTCCCTTGCTGCAGATTAAGCCATCATGTCCTACCTTCAGTGGGCATGGAGAATAATTGATCACCATCCTCTTTATAACCATCTTTGACATATTTGAAGATGGTTATCTGGTCCCCTCTCAATGGTGTTGTCTCAAGACTAAATATGCCCAGCTTTTTAACCTTTCTTCAGAGGTCAGGTTTTCTAAACCTTTTATCATTTTTGTTGCTCTCCACTTGATGCTCTCCAGTTTGTCCATATCTCTCTAAAAGTATGGCTCCGAGAACTGGAAACAGTATTCCACAGGCCTCATAATTACCTCCTGTGTGTCTCATAACAACTGTTGAATATCCCTTTTTGTCCTATCATCAGAGGTTAAGGAGAATAATTTTTCTCCCTCCTCCTTGTAACAAACTTTTAGGTACTTGAAGACTGTTATCTCCCCTCTGTCTTCTGTTTCCTAGTTTTTTCAATCTTCCCTCCATAGATCATGTTTTCTTGAGCTTTAATCATTTTGTTGCTCCTCTTTGGATTATTCCACTTTATCTACATCTTTCCTGAAATGAAACACCCAGACACTACTCCGGTTAAGGCCTAATCGGCGTGGAGTGGAGCAGGAGAATTACTTCTTGTTTCTCACTTACAGCACGTCTGCTAATACATCCCAGAATGATGTATGCTTTTTTGCAATCATCTCTCACTGTTGTCTTATATTTAGGTTATGGTTCTCTATGACCCGCAAATCCCTTTCCCCATTACTCCATCCTAGGCTGTCATTTCCCTTTTTGTATATGTGCAGCTGATTTGTTCCTTCCTAAGTGGAGTACTCTGCATTTTTTCTTATTGAATTTCATCCTGTTTACCTCAGACCATTTCTCTAGTTTTTCCAGGTAATTTTTAATTATAATCCTATTCTCCAAAGCACTTGCAACCCCTCCCAGCTTGGTATCATCTGAAAACTCAATAGGTATTCTCTGTATGCCATTATCTAAATCACTGATAAAAACATTGACTAGAAGTGGACCCAGAACTGATACCTGTGGAACCCCACTCATTATGCCTTTGCAACATGACTGTGCACCATTGATAATGACTCTTTTTCCAACTGTTATCCAACCAGTTATGCACTGACCTTATAGTAGCTCCATCTAGGTTGCATTTCCTTACTTTGTTATGAGAAGGTCATTTTGAGACTTTATCAACAGCCTCATTAAAGTTTAGATAGATCATCTGTCCCCCTAGTCACAAGGCTTATTACCCATCAAAAAAGCTATCAGGTTGGTTTGACATGATTTGTTCTTGACAAATCCATGCTGACTGTTACTTTATCTTCTAGAAGATGCTGCAAACTGATTGCTTAGTTGTTTGCTCCATTATTTTTCCCAGGACCGAAGTTAAGCTGACTGGTCTGTAATTCCCTGGATTGTTCTTATTTCCATTTTCATAGATGGGCATTATATTTGCCCTTTTTCAGTCTTTTGGAATCTCTCTCATCTTCTATGACTGTTCAAATATGATAGCTAATAGCTCATATATCCTTAGCTCCTTGAGTATTCCAGGATGCATTTCATCAGGCCCTGGTGACTTGAAGACATCTAACTTATATAAGTAATTTTTTGTCTAAGTAATTTTTAATTCCTTCTTTTTCTATTTTAACTTCTGACTTTTCACTGGCATTCACCCAACAGTCACCACCAACCTTGGTAGAAACTGAAACACAGAAGTCATTATGCACTTCCTGCCATTTTCACATTTTCATTTATTGCTTTTACCTAGTTATTGAGTAAATGACCTTACCTATCTTTGGTCCTTCTCTTGTTTCTGATGTAATTATCATCATTTCACTAGTGCTTCCAAGGTAGACACGATGTGGGTTTTGGATGTAAACCACCTCCCCTCCCCACAAGCTCACAACAGGTTCCTTTTTAAAAACGACAGAAGTCAGGCCTACACACACAAATATAAAAAGCAAGAAAGGGCACAAAACCAGTATCATTTTCCTTTGTAGGTTACGTTCTAAGGAGCGTCTGACTTTGGGCATTTAAATTGACTTAGGCCTCACATTCATGGTCTCAGGAATCGAATGATAAGTGTTTATGGTGCTCAACGCTCCTCAGGAATAGACCCCTTCAATGCAGGACTAGTTCACATTTAAATATTCTTGTATGTAATAGAAATGTCTTCTGCAGCGCTGACCATTATCACCTCCTCCTTGTTCTTTCTAAGGCACTAGCTATGGTATCCCGGTGGATTGGATGGACTCCACACAGGAGGAAGTGGCCTTTTGGCAGGAAATGATGTTGGCCTCCAACGAATGGATTGAAGGATCGCTCCCACTGCGTTCGCTGGCTGGGCGGAGGAAACTGAAATGAAAGTTACACAATTAAAACTGAGCATATTCATTAGAAATGGGGAGCTCTCCAAGACGAAGAGATGGAGCGCTTCCCCTACCCACGCAGATGTATGGTTAACTGATAATGATTGGATTTTGCTTTAAAGATGTTAAGTGCTACATGGTGTTAATCCCCCAGTAAGAGGGTTTAGAAGATGCTTAACTGAAGCTATACTTGATCTTAGCAAGAGGCCAAGAACGAACACTGGTTACTTTGGCTGATCATTTATATAGTCTCTTAGATTTCATTACACTCTGAATACATTGGCAGGATAAAGGAGGTGTGAGTATTTTTTTTAATACAGGATTATTTTGTTACTGGATTTTTGTGCTGTTCTGTGCAGGAAGACCTTTGTAATAAAGCAGCAGCTCGGTATTCTGCATATTCCCTTTGAAGTGGTACACGTTGTACTGGATGGAGGATTGCAAGCATCATCTCAGTTTTCTTCAAACTAAATTGTATTAAATATTGTCACTCCTTTACTGAGCCATAAATCATGATGGGGCCTTCCCAGGTGGCTTTGTTGAAGGAGATGTGCGTTGCAGGGAATGTGGGCGTGTTCTACGTGTAACTTTGGTTTCCATGCACACACCACTCCAGGGCAGAGGTGGTCACAAATGGCACGCTGACAAACCTCTCTTTCAGGAACCTCAGCACTGTCCCTCCCAGTGCTTCCACGGGCTAACGTGGGATGGATCCTGCCCCAGGAAGGCAGGGAGAGGGGCTCAGCGGGTTGGCTCCAAAAGGGACCAGGAAAAGCCCTTGTGGGGAATCAGAGGTGCTCTCAGAGAAAAGAGGGAATTGGAGAGCAGGGGGAGGAGGAGAAGCAGGTGGCAATGCCTGGAACAGAGCATCAAGCCCACCCAGCCCAGCAAGACAGGAGTCATTTCAGCTGGGAAAGTGGGGTTAGAGGTGAAAACAGGACAAAACCCGGGACTGTTGGGAGATCTGCAACAATACCTGGATCCTAGGAAGGAATTCCACTCCCAGAACTGGCTCTAGTTTGAGAGAGAATACATCACAAACAATGCATAACTTCTTCCTCACCTGAGTAGTGCTTGCAGTGGGTATCCTAGGCAGCTGCAGTCCCACCCACACTCCTCCCCCCAGTCCTCTTTCTGCTCTGCAGGTGGTCGGCTCTTCTGTGCCCATTAGAGCCATGCCGCCCGGACTCCTGGTGCTCTGCGGTTGACGGGGGAGGCTAGCCTGGGGCAGGTCACAGCAGCAATAGTGGAGTATGCTGGGATCTGGCAGGCTCAGAAGGGTTGGGGCCTCCGGTGGAAGGGCCAGGACTCCGTAAGCCAGCAAGTGGTTCACCCACTGCCCATGGTATTTGCAGTTAAGAAAACGAACTTGTGTATCAGCACCACCTGGTAGCTCCCTCTATAACAATACATTGAAGTTTACAAGTAATACCAATAATGAATACCTTACAGTGGCAACGTGGATCCTAAACAGACCAGGTAGACAAAGGGTAAGAATAGCCATACTTGGTCAGAACAAAGGTCCATCTAGCCCAGTATCCTGTCTTCCAAGAGTGCCCAATGCCAGGCGCTTCAGAGGGAAAGAACAGAAGAGGTAATCAAATGATTCAGTCCCTGTCACCCATTCCCAACTTCTGGCAAACAGGCTAGACACACCATCCCTGCCTATGCTATACAATAGCCACTGATGGGCCTGTCCTCAATGCGTTTATCTAGTTATTTTTTGGACACTGTTCTAGTCTTGGCCTTCACAAGGCTACATAGCTATAGATATCCATGTTTCTGTGCCAAGATTATATGGAGGTCCGTTAGAATTTCTGTTTTGCTGTCCTTCACTTGGATAATTTTTCATTGTGGCATCTTCGCTTCCATTCCAGTCCTATTTCCCCCTTCCCTCCCTTTCGTGACAAGATTTTCATAGAATAGGTAGGGGTGGCCAATCTGCGGCTCGCGAGCTGCATGCGGCTCTTCACTGCAAAAAGTGCAGCTTGCGAAGACACCCCTGCGCCCCCACAAAGGGCCCCCAGCGCTGGTGCTCACCCGAGGCAGGGGAGCGATGGTGCCAGCCAATGGGAGCCTGATGTGGTCAAAAAGCCAAACCGGAAGCATGTTTTGTTTTTGTTTTTTGCTCGACCAAACGCGATGGCTCAGGCTATTTTTCTTTTTCCTCAACAACTTTTTTCCCTCAGCTCTTTGCTCCATTTCCACAGGCTCTTTGCCTGTATCTGATTGGCCACCCTATCATAGAATCATAGAAATGAATTGCTGGACAGGACCTTGAGAGGCCATCAGTCCAGCCCCCTGTCCTGAGGCAGGACCAAATAGCCTTAGACCATCTCTGACAGGTGTTTGTCCAACAGGTTCTAAAAAACTTCCACTGGTAGGGATTCTACAGTCTCTCTTGGAAGTGTATACCAGAGCAGCTACTGTTACCATTAGAAAGTTTTCTCCTCTACTATCTAACCTTCATCTTCCTTGCTGCAGGTTAAGCCCACTACTTCTTGTCCCACCTTCAGTGGACATGGAGAATAACTGATCACTGTCCTCTGTATAACCACCCTTCAAATTTTTGAAGACTGTGATCAGATCCCCACCCAATCTTTCCTCAAGACTAAATATTCCTAATTTTTTTTAAAAAAACCTTTCCTCATAGATCAGTTTTTCTAACTTTTTATCGTGTTTGTTGCTTTCTTCTGGATTCTTTCTTATTTGTCCACATCTTTCTTAACGTGTGGTTCCCAGAACGGGACATAGGACTACAGCTGAGGAATTGCTAGTGCCATGTTGATCAGGACAATTACCTCTTGAATTTTATATATGACAACCCTGTTTGTATGCCCCACAATGGCATTAGCCTTTTTGCAACTTCATTACAAGGTTGGCTCCTATTCAGTTTGTGATCCTCTATCATCCCCAGATCCTTTTCAGCAGCACTACCAGCTAGCACTTAATCCCCATTTGTAATTGTGCGTTTGTGTGGGAGGGGAGTTTCCTTCCTAAGTAAACAGCTTTACAGTTTTCTTTATTGAACTTAATTCTGTTGATTTCAGTCAATTTTTCTAATTTGTCAAGGTAATTTTGAATTCTAATCCTGTTCTCCAAAGGGCTTGCGGCTCTTCACAGCTTGGTGCCATCTGCATATTTTATAAGCATACTCTCCGTGCCATTATTCAAGTCATCGTGCCTTTAACACAAATAGCTGACCTAAAAATGTTGCCTTCTAATGCCGAGATAATAATCCACATTAGTGATGCTAAAGAAGTGAATTCCATTCTGGTGAAATCTGGTCTGTGCCTTTTTTCTTGTACTGTTCATTGTGGGCTAGTTTGTGGCATCTCCCACATTTAGCCGTTAAGGGGCAGATTGAACCAACAGTGCCATAAGTATAACTCACAATGTAGAAAAATACAGAACTCTAATCTGCATATTTATTATTAGACCAGGAAATTGTTATAGGAGATCTGCGCTGAGGAAAAAGGCCGATGAAATTTTAATGGATTATAATACAGGATGAACAATCCCTGGAGGTTGTTTGGAAAACATTTGTAGCATCTGGAAGATCTTCCTCTCAGACCTACTTAGCAGTGTGGGACTTGCCAGCACGCTCTGTTTTCTCTCTCCTACCATGTCACCAAGAGTTGTTATGAAGTTCCCAAGTGTGAAATAGCAGCTACAACAAGCTAATAAATAAGATATAAAAATATCACATTCAGGATTCGTTGTTGTGGATAGGACATGGTCCAGACTGAGACATTTATCTAGTTAGCGATGTTATAGAGTCATAGAAATATAGGGCTGAAAGAAACCTCGAGAGGTCATCTAGTCCGTTCCTCCCTCCCCCAAACCTGAGGCAGGACAAATCTATTTAGACCATCCTGACAGCCATTTATTAGATTCCACAATCTCCCTTGATAACCTCTTCTAGTATTTAACTGTCTTTACAGTTGTAGCATTCATCTCAATATCTAACCTAAATCTCCCTTGCTGCAGATTAAGCCATCATGTCCTACCTTCAGTGGGCATGGAGAATAATTGATCACCATCCTCTTTATAACCATCTTTGACATATTTGAAGATGGTTATCTGGTCCCCTCTCAATGGTGTTGTCTCAAGACTAAATATGCCCAGCTTTTTAACCTTTCTTCAGAGGTCAGGTTTTCTAAACCTTTTATCATTTTTGTTGCTCTCCACTTGATGCTCTCCAGTTTGTCCATATCTCTCTAAAAGTATGGCTCCGAGAACTGGAAACAGTATTCCACAGGCCTCATAATTACCTCCTGTGTGTCTCATAACAACTGTTGAATATCCCTTTTTGTCCTATCATCAGAGGTTAAGGAGAATAATTTTTCTCCCTCCTCCTTGTAACAAACTTTTAGGTACTTGAAGACTGTTATCTCCCCTCTGTCTTCTGTTTCCTAGTTTTTTCAATCTTCCCTCCATAGATCATGTTTTCTTGAGCTTTAATCATTTTGTTGCTCCTCTTTGGATTATTCCACTTTATCTACATCTTTCCTGAAATGAAACACCCAGACACTACTCCGGTTAAGGCCTAATCGGCGTGGAGTGGAGCAGGAGAATTACTTCTTGTTTCTCACTTACAGCACGTCTGCTAATACATCCCAGAATGATGTATGCTTTTTTGCAATCATCTCTCACTGTTGTCTTATATTTAGGTTATGGTTCTCTATGACCCGCAAATCCCTTTCCCCATTACTCCATCCTAGGCTGTCATTTCCCATTTTGTATATGTGCAGCTGATTTGTTCCTTCCTAAGTGGAGTACTCTGCATTTTTTCTTATTGAATTTCATCCTGTTTACCTCAGACCATTTCTCTAGTTTTTCCAGGTAATTTTTAATTATAATCCTATTCTCCAAAGCACTTGCAACCCCTCCCAGCTTGGTATCATCTGAAAACTCAATAGGTATTCTCTGTATGCCATTATCTAAATCACTGATAAAAACATTGACTAGAAGTGGACCCAGAACTGATACCTGTGGAACCCCACTCATTATGCCTTTGCAACATGACTGTGCACCATTGATAATGACTCTTTTTCCAACTGTTATCCAACCAGTTATGCACTGACCTTATAGTAGCTCCATCTAGGTTGCATTTCCTTACTTTGTTATGAGAAGGTCATTTTGAGACTTTATCAACAGCCTCATTAAAGTTTAGATAGATCATCTGTCCCCCTAGTCACAAGGCTTATTACCCATCAAAAAAGCTATCAGGTTGGTTTGACATGATTTGTTCTTGACAAATCCATGCTGACTGTTACTTTATCTTCTAGAAGATGCTGCAAACTGATTGCTTAGTTGTTTGCTCCATTATTTTTCCCAGGACCGAAGTTAAGCTGACTGGTCTGTAATTCCCTGGCTTGTTCTTATTTCCATTTTCATAGATGGGCATTATATTTGCCCTTTTTCAGTCTTTTGGAATCTCTCTCAT